GTAGGGAAAACAGAGCCATGGTTTTGGAGCTGGGGATCCGGAGCTGAGAAAGGAGGACCAGCTGTGGAGGACGTAAGGGTGGGGTGGGGGCAGAGCCTACTTACCACCCCTGTGCCTTCACTGGCCTAGGTGGGTGGCCTACCAGTACCCAGGCTACCGGGGCTACCAGTATGTATTGGAGCAGGACCGCCACAGCGGGGAGTTCCGTAACTACAGTGAATTCGGCACGCAGGCCCACACTGGGCAGCTGCAGTCCATTCGGAGAGTCCAGCACTAAGCTCCACAGCCCTGGCGCCTCCCATGAGGACCCTCAATAAAGGCTCCTGAACCTGCCTGCCCCTCTTGCCTCCTTTTTGGTGTCTTGCTTTGCAATCTCCATCCTTATCCTTCTGAGGGTCTTTCTCTGCCAACCCTCCCCTCCCCTCTGGCTCCAGGACCCTTGACTATGGAGCATACACTGGCTTAGGATGTATGTGGCTGATGGGTCTAAGATGAAAATGCTGGTAAGAATCCTGGGGATCCTGTTCAATGCAACCAGCCCCACACCTCTCCTTGGTAAAGGCCTATCAGCTTGGACCAGGGGCACCGCTAGCCCAGATAGTTCCTTTGCCATCCTCTGGTTCGGGCGCACATAGCTCCACGGCAGGGCTCATAGCTGAATTTCAACCTTCACACACCCCCTGGGCCAGGCACCAGCATTCGGGGCAGGACCTCCTTAACTCTGTGCAGGAGCCCTGCTGGCTTCCTCTCTGACCCCCACCCCTACCTTTTCGAGCCTCTAACTTCATTCACCCTGGCTCCCTATCCAGCCTAAGGGAAGCTCGCACCCATTTCCCAGCTTTGTAGAATCTCCGCCTTATAGAGGAGCAAGGGTGTGAGAGGGGTAATTGCTGGGAGGTCCCACTGCCTCCTAGAGGAGATGTGCTCTCTCTGAGCCAAGCCCTAAACCCTTTGAATCACAATCCCTCGTGGTATTGAGCTCCAGCACTTATTGTACAAAGCATTTGCATACCTTGCCTCTCAGCTGTCTCAAAAACTCCCTCTTCATTCTTCCTCTTCCTCTCCACTCTTCAGAGGACTAGTGAGCTGGAGAGGCCACCCCTGAGCCACTGACCACAGTGAGCCTGGGTTCTGGGGCAGGTGGTAGAAGTCCACAGCCACGGTGGGGTTGAATGTGGCAGCAGCCATCAGAGTCTGTGGCACCAATGTGGCTTCTTTCCAGCTCCCTCTTTGGCTCAGTTTATGATAATCTCACCCACATAGGCAGGGCCTTCAAGGTCCTTGAGAGGCCCTTCATCCTGTCTCTCAGGGATGCTTGAGTTTTCAAGCCCCTGTTGGACATATCCATGGGGAGGGGTGGCCCAGATCACTGCCCCAGCCCAGGGGAGTCAAAGCGATGTTGGAGAAAAGTCAGATTTGGACCTGGGCATTTCCCAGGGGCCCAGCTGTGCACAGTCAGGCATCTGCTCCCTTGGGAAGAGTCCTGGACCAGAGGTCAGAACACCCGGGACTCAGTCACATAGCATCCCCCAGCCTCAGTTCCCTCGCCTGTAAACTGGGGCTATTGAGTCCTGCCTTGTCTCTCTCACAGGTTTGTTGTGAGGATTCAAGGAGAACTGCCTGAAAATGCTTGTGGTTCAGAAAAGAACTAGGGCAGTTACCATAGGACCTCCCTTCCCTGACTCTCCCCATGGATCTCAGGGTTGGGTCAGGGGACCAAGGACAGAGTTCAAGGTAGGGTATGAATTCTGCTTCATACCTAGATGGGTTCTGAAGTCCATTGCTCCTGTCACATTTGATCCTCCTAACAGCTTCCATTCTTCAACCATTTCACCAATGAAGAAACTGCAGCTCCTCTGAGAGGGAGAAGCCTTGATGAGGTCACCCACTTAATTGGTGACAAAGCCAGGACCCGAACACAGGGCTCCAGATTCCAAATCCAGGCTGTTAACTGGAGGCTGACCTGAGCTGTGGCCAAAAGCCTCAGGCCTCAGCAGAGCCCCAAACCTTTGTGGGCTCCAGAGGAGCCTGGGGTTCCTGTGTGGTCACAGGCTCCTAACTGTCCCCTTGGGGGCATGGTAATAGTAACAACAGCTAAGTATATGCAGCTTTGTCTGAGCACTCAGCATGTGTTATATAAGCCTAATAATTCTCTATGGTTGGTACTATAATCCCCATTTTACAGATGAAGAGACTAAGGTACAGAGGTTATGTAACTTCCCCCAAAGCCACGCAACTAGGAAATGGGGGATCTGGAGTTGAGCCCAGACCCAGACAAACTGGCCTCAGAGCCCAGTAGCCCATCTCTGCACTGCCTGTATTGGGGGCAGGCAGGCAGTGGGCAAAGGGAGATCTGGTATCTACCATCAGCTGAGCTGCCCTACCTCCAGGAAGGTCCATGGTTACTAGGACCACCCAGCAAGATGCTTTCAGGAACTGACAGTGTGACCCTGCCAGGGTACGCCCTGTCTCTAGGTCTCAGTGTCCCCACCTGTACAATGAAGGAGTTGGGGGAGCTAATATTTGTTGCAGCCTTTGCCAGCATGGACCTTCTAGGTTTTCTTAGACCCACGGGTCGAACTCTGCTCCCCACATCAGCAAATAAGGAGGGGGTGCGCAGAGGCCAGGCCTCTAGGAGTGTTTTCACCTTCCTACCGTCCCTCTATTCTGGGCAGGCTGATGGTCTGCAGAACACGGTGGGGCTCACATCCAGCCAGGTGGGAGGATGATGGCAGGGAAGCTGCCTGGATTTGCTCATTGGCTGCACTCAGCCAAAGGCCAAAGGGGACAGAGGAGGTCATATCCTTTCCATTGGTGCAACCAAGATCCAGGTGAGGTAGGGGTATGCCCCTCACTCACAAACTCTTCCCAGACCCCACCTACTCCTCAGTCCCTGAGTCCTCAGTGAGGTGGGGGTGGGGGCAGAGCCTGAGCTGTTGATCCTTCATCAGCTCGGAGCTGGGATGTCTGGATAGACGCCCACTCTAAGCGCCTCTCCCTTCTGCCTCTGCCTTCCACTCAGAGCATTAGTGGGTGAAACTTGCTGCCTCCCCACTCTTGCAACTCTGGTCTCCTGTTCCTCATTTTCTACCTGGGGAAGTGACAAGAAAGCCTGAAGGAGAGGGAGTGAGACTTCAGCCAGACCCCTCAAGACCCTCTGCTCCCTCAAAGCCCTGAGTTTTGTCCCTAGGGAGCATCCCAACCTCTCATCTTTCCCCCACCAGATTCCACCTGCACATCCTGAAGCCTCCATCCCTGTCCCTTTAGGATCCTCTAGGGTCCTGGGATCCCCCACATTTTCCCCTAGACTCACCTCCCACACTCCTCCTTGGTTCCTTCTGATTTTTGTACCCTCCACCAGCAAGGAGGAACACCCCAGGAGTTACAGCAAGTGAAGAATGCAAGAGGCCCCACAGAAACCCCTCTCCCAGCTGGACTTCCCAGCTATCCTCAGTCAGGCAACCCAAGACCAGGGATCCGGCAGAAAACTTGCCCACTTCCCTCCAAGTGCCCTGAAGCCCCAGGCCTCCTCACCTCCTGAAGTCAAGCAGTGGGAGAGAAAGGCCTTGAGATTACCAATTCTGACCGGAGTCACCAGGTGCTGCATGGCTGCAGGTGGGCTCCTGTCCCAGAGACTCATCTTCAGCCAGCATCCCTCCTTAGTGTGCCCCTCCAGAGCCAGGAAGCCCCGCAGGTACCCAGAGACTCCAGGCCACCAGGGAACCACATCAGCTTTGCTAATACCCCCCTTTGCCCCTTTCTCGGAGTGTATTTACTTCCACTCCCCCTGGGTTGGGGGACCTTGTACAGTGCACCTGTTTTAACTCCTCTACTCCTGCTAGAGCAAGGTGCCAGATGCAGCCTAGCTCTGGGATAATCAGGATGGGAATAGTTGTGAGGGTAGATGGTAAGCTGGGATGACAAGGGATGGGGAAAGATAGAAGAGAAATGGTTGGGGGGGATGGAAGGGGGATCACCAGTCACCCATTTGCCACAAATTAGTGAGAACAAACGAATGAGAAAAGGAAGGGAAAAAGAGAGGATGGAGAGGTAGAGAGGAGACAGAAGGGAGATGGGAGGAGGAGGGACTAGATGGAAGTAGAAGGAGAGACCTAGAAAGGTGGAGGAAGGACAAGCCACTAAAAGTTGTGCGGGAGACGCCCCAGCGCTGGCCCAGAGGCCTGGGAGCCCCGGAAAGGCAGGAAACCGGGGAAAACAAGAGGGAGGCAGGGAAGGGGATCGGGTCTCCAAGGAAGAGCAGAGAGTGGGAGAGGAGAGGAGGGAGGAGTAGCGGGGATGGAGGAAGCGGGGTAGATAAAGGGAGCAACGGCTGCCGACCCGGAGCGCAGCGACAGGAGAGAGGGAGGGAAGCGGAAATTTAAAAGTGGAGATGCAGATAACGCAGCCTGGAGACGGGAACCCGGGTGGGGGTGGGGCGCGGAGAGGGGAGGAAAGTGGAGCGGTGGGGGGGGGATGGGTGAGAAGGAGGGAGCCCACCACCCCGTTGTGGCCCCGGGGCTCCGAGGTGGGGCCGGGTACCCCGCCCCAATCCTGGTTGCTCAGAGTCAGGGAGGCGGAAAAGAAATGGGCTCCTGACCCCTGCGAGAGCGCGAGGCCCAGGCCCATCCCCCGCGCGTCTCCCGGGTTGCGAGGTGCGGGGGGCTGCCGGGTGCGCTTGGCTGCCGCGCGGCAAGTCGGAGACTTTATTGCGATGGGGCGATAAGAGGGGCGGGGGCGGGTCCGGGGGGCCGAGGCTGCAGCTCTTTAATTAAAACGGAAATTGCGGCCCCTGCCCGCGCGGGGGCCCGGAGGGTTCCAAGCAGCCTGCTAGCTGGGAGCATCGCTCCAGGACC